AAGGCAAGACTCAAGAGAGATTATAATAAGTAGATCATTGTTATATACATTAGAAATAAGAAAGAATTGTTTAGATTAGATTGAGATGATCAAAATCTTGTAAGGCAATTGTTTTTTTCTTGGTATAATAAATTCTTCTCTTCTACAATTTTCTTGATTGTCGAGTGATTCATTAAATTTCACATTGTCTCAACAAGTAATATCAAAACGTTTTTGATATTGGGTTTGTTCATAACAAGTTGTATCAGAGCCAATGATTTTTTAACGGTTTCTTAGGATGTCCAAATTAATTATTAAAGCGAGGTTGGATTAAGGTCGATTGTTCAGGGATGACAATTTTGAAATTTGAAATTTTGATTTTGGATCGCAATAGTAGCTTTTCAGTGAGGCAAATCAAAATGCGAGCGGTTCTTGCTCAATTGAATCTTGATGATGCTTTGTTGAGGATTGATAGAATGCCTGCAACAATGACCACGGGGAGAAAAAATGGAAGGATCAAAAAGCCCTATCTCATATACATCTTCATCTTTCTAATGAAATTCTTTAGGACGTGGTAAAGGAGAAAAGTGCCGCTGCATTGTGGTTGAAGTTAGAGCAAATTTGTATGACAAAGAACTTGACAAGTAAATTACACTTGAAGCAACGCTTGTATTTTTATGGCTTAACGGAAGGTGGATTTTTGGAAGGTCATCTATCTGTGTTCAAGGAAATCGTCGCTAATTTGAAAATGATGGAGGTTAAGTGTGAGGAAGAGGATTTACGACTCATATTGTTATGCTCGTTGCTACCTTCATATACGACTTTTAGATATACCATTCTCTATAGTCAGGATAATCTTACAATTGACGAGGTATATGATGCGCTTTATTCTAAGAAGAAGATGGAGGATCTGGTTGTCGGTTCTGAGGCTCATGGAGAGGGTCTTGTTGTTCATGAGAGGAAGATGCGTAGTCACGAAAGGGACAGAGTCAAGGATAGCAACAACGGTAGCGGTATAGTTTGTTGGTATTGCAACAACAAGGGGTACATAAAGAGGGAGTGCTATGAGTGACGGAAGTGATTTGCTACTACAGATCAGGATGAACAATAAAAAAATTTCGATATTATTAATCTTGCAGAAAAGAACGGTGATGGAGATTTGTTGGCGATTACTGAAGGTGACTCCAAACCTGAAGATAATTTGATTCTTGATTCAGCTTTCACTTTTCACATGTGTTCAAATTGGGATTGGTTTTTTATATATAAAATAGTTACAAGGGGTTCCGTGATGACGAGATGCAATAAGCCTTGTGGAATAGTTGGGATTTGTAATGTCAAAATCAAGATGTTGAATGGGACGATTACAACACTTGGCCAGGTTTTAAACATATTTCAAGTATAAACATAAATATGATATCTTTAAGTACTCTTAATTCAAAAGGGTACGGTATACCGGTGGAGGTAGAATTCTGAAAGTTAGCAAGGGTGCCCGGGTTGTGTTAAGGAAGTGGAGAAAGTCCCGATTATATGTGTTGGAAGGTTCGGTGATTATGGAGGAAGCAACTGCAGCTTATGGTTTAGTAAGCGGTAACTCAGGTTGTTCGTGATGATTTGGACAATAATATTGGAAAACCTTCTAGTAGCTCAGGTAAAGATGGTTGTGATTTTGTTGATTATGTTGCTCATGGTGATTTGAGAAGGTTTGACAACTCAGGTAGAGTTGGGGTTTCTTGTGGTTGTTCAAGCAGATTTATTGACTCGGTCAGAGCTGGAAATGAATGGGATGATTCAAGCAAGGATGGTGCGCAAGGTAGTTCTGCTAGTATGTAGGGCTTGGATGTAGTTCTAAGTTGTTAAGTATGCCTAGAACGGGCATGGGGTACCCGTCAAGGGCATGGTAGAAGAGTTGGAAAATGACTTGAAGAGTAAAGATTTAATTCCTTGTTATGAAATTTGTGACAATGTGGAGTTTGTTAGGTTTTGTGACAAAAATTCTATATGATTTAAAAGTTTGTTGCATGAAGGAAGTCTAAGGTACTTGGATTTGTATTGTGGAGATCAAATTTCATCATGGATTGGAAGTTTGGCTTGGAAAAGGACTTGGAGATGAAGTAAAACATTTTGGAACGAAAAAGAAAAAAATAATAATTTCAGCATGGAAATTGGCATCGAGGCGCCCGGGTGGGCTCAGTCCCCGGTAGCGAATTTTCCCGTTTTTATCCGAATTTTGGGACTTCATCTTCTTCATCTTGTACTCTAACTCATCCACAACTTCGAGATTTGGCTTCTATAAATTCTCCACAAGGTATACGCACTTCATAAGGGTGAAAAGGCAAGACTCAAGAGGGATTATAACAAGTATATCATTGTTGTATACATTAGAAACAAGAGATAATTGTTTAGATCAGATTGAGATGATCAAAATCTTGTAAGACAATTATTTGTTTCTTGGTACAATAAATTCTCATCTTCCACAATTTTCTTGATTGTTGTGTTTTTCATTAAATTTCATATTGTCCANATCCATTAAATTTCATATTGTCCATATTTTTCGTCTTTAATTATTTGACCGATTCCTCAACAAGTGATATCAAAACGTTCTTGATATCATGTTGGTTCATAACAATGGAACCTCAAGTATTAATATGGTATCATGGCCCAAGCTCTAAGGAACAATTTCATCTGATTAAGACTCAAAAATGAGTATACGAACTTTAAGATTGGTTTGTTCAAACGAGTCACCATCTTACAGAAGCATGTTAGAGAATATTAAATTCCACGTCAAATAATTATCGAAATATAAACCAACATAAATCTCGAATGGAGTTGTTAGGAACACTTACAATTAGTAGAAATTGCTTAGAAAACCACCTTGCAATAGGGCTCAACAACGAAATCGCCAAACCGCAAAATCGAACCGAAACCTTTCGTTGGATCTACGTAGATTTGTCAATGTTTTTATTTTGAATCGAACCAAACCACTTCAAAGTGGTTTAATTTAGGTTTCAATTTTTGCAATCCATTTACTAAAAAAAAAATAATAAATTAATCTAAATTTTATCCAACTCAATTAAAACTAAACACATCCTAATTAAAAAGATACATCAATATTAGACATAATTCAATTAAAACCAATACGTAAATAGACAAATATCCATCCCAATTAATTAATTAAATCAAATCAAAATACTCATCCATGATCACAACCGTAAACGCAAAACCCTCAAAATGGTTGAATTGTCGAATAACTTCTGTTAAATCATATTTATCGACCGTCCATTACAATTGAGTAGACAGTAAAATACATATTTTAATTCAAACTTAGCCATTTTCCTTCTACTAATAATATTCTCAAATTTCGGCTAAATTTTTAGGTTAGTTTATCCAAATTTTCTTATTTTTTGGTAATTGTTTGCTATATTTTATTGGTAGTTGTATTGTATTATTCTAGTTTGTGTAGGACTCCCTTAAATTTTTAGAGGACAACATTTTTTACTTATTTGCATCTCAATTTCCTAGTCACATCACTCAATTAATTATTTACATATTAACTCAGTTTCTAGATTTTACTATTAATTGTTAGAATGATTTGATGAATTACTTAAATGACTGTTTTGAAAATTTGACCAATGAGCATTTGGACATATTACTTCGGTGGAAATTGTCTACAAATAAATACAAGATTGTCCCCCTAAGTTGTTGAAAATGTGTTAGCTATTCAAATATCTACAATTATTTTTAGGTCTACATTTCTTACTAGTAGTCGGATTCTTGATTCATTTAGTAGCTCGTTGAGTGCAAATATGGTTGAGGTGGTGAGTTGCCCTAAAAAGTGGTTGCATGTAACAAGGAAACATATAGTGATTCGTCAATATTTGAATGAAGTAGAAGCATTGGATGATTCACAAAAGTTATAGAATGTATTGTCGTATTTGATCTTTTTATTCATTTTCTTTTATTAATTATTTTATATCATTTAACTATAATCAATGAATTCATATTCTATATTCTTATATTTACGGAGAAAATGTATCATGTGTTACAATTGCAGCCAATTTGTATTGATTAAGAGGTTAAAATGTTTCTCTTATGTTGTCGCATAATGATTAGAATCATAGAGTTTTGATCTGTAATATTTTTAACGATAATATTTAAGTTTTAATATGAAATTTCATATTAATATTTATGATTTAACTTATTCAATATATGTTAATTTTCTCTTTCTTAAACTGTGATTTCAAATTGAATCAAATCGAAAAAAGTGGTTTGGATTGGTTTGGAATTTTTCCAAACCGCTTTAGTGGTTTGGTTTGAAAATTTATGTTCAAATCGAACCGTGTTCATCCTACCTTGCAAGCCACCATTATGAGGCATTGTATGGAAGTAGGTGAATGGAAAATTTTAGGACTTCAAATTACAAAGTAGACGGTCCAAGCCATAGGCAAAAATTTGGGCAAAGCAAAGTGGCCTAAGATGAGTAAAAGATTTACGTTGATTATACAAGCAATGATTGGGAAATTGAAGTTGGTGACTAAGTGTTCCTAGAAATAACACAGATGGAAGTAGTTTTACATTTCACGAAGTAGCATAAAGTTAATCTAAGATATGTAGGTCATTTTAAGATATTGAGACTAGTGATAAACATGGCTAGGAATTAGGTATGCCACCCTAACTTTTAGAGGTCTGTAATTCATTTTATGCATCTCTGCTTTGAAAGTACATGTCAAATATGAGCCATGTAGTTAGTTTTTTTATAAGAGAGTCAAACAAAGAAGCTTAAAGTAGACTCGATAAACGGGTAGAAAAAGAAGTCTCCTATCTATGTTATCCTTAAGAACAATGTTATGTTTGTGACTCAAATTTCATGTGATTTGGAAGTTTGGTTTATGGAGGAAGCTTAGATAATTTTTGGATTGGAAGTCGGATTGATAAGGGATCTTTGACTGGAAAAAGAACTTTGAAATTGATGAATAAGTGTTTTGGAATCATTGGAACTAAGACATAGTGCCTAGGCGTTGGAAATGCAAAAGGGAGGCAATAAGGGGGTGCCAGGGCGCCATGGAGGTGGCACCGTAGCACCCAATGACGGATTGCCAACAGAAGGGCCGGAGCCCCAACGCCGGCCACCGGGCCTCGGAGCACTGGCTAGGTGGTGTCGCGTGCCGCCCGGACGGAAGAAAAGAGTCCTAGTTGATTTTTATCGCTATTTTTGTACTCTACTTCATCCAGATCTTCAAGATTGGACTCCTATATATACTCTATGAGGTGTGGGATCTTCATAAACTCAACATAACAATTAGATCATGTTGTAGATATTAGAAATTTGAGAGAATTGTTTAAATTTATATTGAAATTATAAAATCTTATAAAACAATTTTAGTTTCTTGGTATAATAAATTCTCCCCCTCTTCCACATAAATCTTGTTTCCTATGTGATCTGCTATTTTCATATTGCTCATTTTATTTTCATCTTTATTATTTGGCCACATTCTCAACAATTGGGATCAGGATATCTTGTTTGCTTCATAACAAACAACTACCTGGCCAAGTTGACCATTGTATAAGCATTCTGAAGTCCAAAGGTTAGGAGTTACTGGAACGGAGTTGACTTTTTTAAGGAATGTAGGAAGAGAGTTATCATTGCAGATCTTTTGGATACTAACTTGAATGTCAGAGAGAAACGGGAAAATAAAGTTTATTGGAGCTGCAATGGAGCTTGTTGCAGCAATACAAGGTTTCTCATATAGTAAATCAATGCTGTTATCATAACTTAATTAAAAGCAAGTAGAAGGAATGAAATGATCCCAAGGAAGAAACAATATATATAAATTAAGGACATTGTGTTTTTACTTTTTAGTCTACCAGTAAAGTGATAAGCATTTGTAGGACGACAATTTTATCGGTATTATATTAGATGATTTTCCATGTAAATATAATTTGAAGTGTGTTCCTATCAAGAACATCAAGGACATAAAAATTGAAAGAATAGTTATGGTATAGCTCACACGAACGTAATTAATCTATTAAATTATTAGTCACCATATAATTTGGGAAACTTGATTTTCATATGTTAGTATAATTATTCTTTACTCACATGAGATGCGTAGATAATAAAGGATGTTAGACAATTGAATCTCTCTAACAATGAATTTGAATTGATTAATATAAATATCAATTATTTGTGGTTTAAGCATTAATGCACATACTTAATGCAGAATGATTATGATATTGATTTTCATATCCAAGACGAGGGATTCAAAATTAATTAATGAATCCTCCTAATAAGCTAATGAAATTAATATGAAATATGAGTAAAAATGATTTGTGTTTTATTTTGTTTGTTGCATTTACCTTGGTCTACATCCATATTTGTTTTGGTATCTTCACTTTAATTACTCACCAATGCAAAAGCCTACTGCCTCCATCTTTTTCCCATATATTGCTGAATTATGCACTACGCACAAACAGAAATAAAGAAAAATCACATCCCTGAATCTTTTGGAGTCTATTTCTCAATTATCTGGAGTAGGTAAGTTCTTAGACCTTTTTAATTTTGTACTTAATTATATGACAAAGAGGTGAATACATATTAAAGAGGATTTGCACTACTAAGTATTTGAAGATTTTAATCCGTACTTTTTTCATTTCTATACATATTCTAATTATATATAATCCGAGAGCATGAATTAAGGAATACAAAAAATGTAATCGAAGATTTACAGCCTATTTTTCAGCATATTCCTCGATACACATAGCTAAATTGAAATGAACTAGACAATCAATGGGCAAATTGTATGTTCATTGTTTGCGGGTTGAACTTCTCACATTGCCAGACTATCTCTGACAGCAACAAAAATTCTGTAAAAAATGGATTCTGGGTATGGTGGAAGTGAATCAGGCGATGAACAGACCTCAAACTCTCGGAGAGGCAAGAAGCCATGCCATCGACATTCAACACAACAAATACAGCAGCTTGAAGCGTAAGATAAAATATTACACTTAATTTTCTTATTGGATGATTTACTATTTTTTTTTTTTTTACAATCTTAATTATTTTTCATTAAAAGCAATCTAAATTCAGATAAGGGTTACTATTTTGACTGTTCTTTTTTCATACACTTCTGAAGTGTTGGTTATTTTTGTTAAATGTAAAAGAGATTCCATAATGTTTAGTAATAGGTCATGGTTACAACTTTTTTGATGCAGCAATTAATTTTTAACTCTTTGATTGTGGCTGCATATATATGTACAGAAGTAAATAGTTAGTTCAATTGTTATAGATTTTCATTTTTCATTTTTAAGGGTTTTAAATCCCTGAATTATTTTTGATTTATTCAGTTGAAAACATGAATGTTTTTCTACTGATTGATGGCAATTATGCAGGTTCTTTAAGGAATACCCACATCCAGATGAGAATCAGAGGAAACAATTGAGCAGGGAACTAGCACTCAACACCAATCAGATTAAGTTTTGGTTTCAAAATAAAAGAACTCAGACAAAGGTATACATACATATATATATATATATGGTTGATTTATACATATATGTTCCTGTCTCCCATTTCATGCTCAGCTGTGCAGATAATTAACATTGATTAATTTTTATATTTAAGACTCAACATGAAAGAGCAGACAATAGCACCCTTCGATCTGAAAATGAAAGATTGCATTGTGAGAATTTAGCAATGAAAGAGGCACTGAATAAAATCATCTGCCCGACTTGTGATGGTCCACCTCTCGACAAAGAAGAGAGGCAACGAAATCTACAGAAATTGAGAATGGAAAATGCCATATTGAAAGAAGAGGTGATTTTTTTCTTTTTAAAACAAAATCCACGTGTGCGTGGGTAGGGGATTTGGCATTAACTCCACCTAGTCTATTAATAGAAATAATAAGTACCAAATGTGGTACGAATATGTGCACAAGGAAAAGTTGTCTTGAAAGAAGACAGGTGAACTTATTTTTGATACATTTTACAGCATGAACAAGTGCTTAACTCATATTCTAGCTTCATGGGACAATCACCAACTTCTTTGCAAACGTCATCTCTTGGTATTGGATCTTCATTCAGTGATACCAGAAAACAATTTTTTGGTCAAGGGACGGGAGGCCCACCTCTTGATCCTGAACAAATTCCAAGGATGGAAATACAGGAGATGGAGAAGTCTATCATTATTGAAACAGCTGCTGCTGCCATGGATGAATTGGAGAAACTTCTACAAATGAAAGAACCTGTGTGGATCAAGTCTCCAACAGATGGGAGATATTTTCTTCATCGAGATAGCTATGACAAGCTTTTTCCCAAGGCAAATCATTTTCAAGCCTCTAGTGCCCGGGTTGAATCATCCAAAGATTCAGGTGTCGTGGCAATGGCTACGTCAAACTTGATTGAGATGCTTCTTGATTCAGTAAAATCTCATACTTGTCCAGTTGTCCTTTTCCCAACACATGTTAGTATTATAATAAATTTAACTTATATAAATGATTTTGCAGAATAAATGGAGAGACATGTTTCCTACTATGGTCACTAATGCTAGGACCATAGAAGTGCTTGATTCAGGAAGTTACGCTGCATCTTTGTATTTGGTAAATTACTCGACTTCTATTTTTGAATCTGTTGGGTCATATATATATTTATTTATTTTTATGAATGATGAATATAAGATTACACTTGTAAACAGATGTATGAAAAATTGCACATCCTATCACCTCTTGTGGCACCCCGAGAATTCTTTTTCATTCGCTATTGTCGACAAGTTAATTCAAACATGTGGATAATGGCCGATGTATCCTATGATTTCACCAAAGAGCTTCGAGATGCTTCCTCTTCCCCGTCTTGGAAACTTCCATCGGGATGTATGATAGAGGATATGTCAAATGGAACATCAACTGTGAGTTTTTAACAATAGCTTTTATTTTTTAGTTTTTTTGTTTGTATGATTTAATATGTTTAACATATATCCTTGAACGATTTATAATGATGATTATAGCACAAGAATTGTCATATATATGAGATAGGCATTCAAGATGCATTCTAGCTATGTCAACGAGTCAAGCCCTAGCCGAAAAAAAAAAAGGCTCGAGCTCGGCTCAAGCTTTTTTAGGTCGAGTTTTTTTGGGCCGTTGCTAGGCCAAAAAAATGAGGCTCGGCCCGCTAGCCTGGACCGAGCCATTTGGGTTTTTTTTTTTAATATAAAATCTACATTTTTACTTAAAAAATTTAAAATTTGTACGATTTATACGTACTATAAATTAAAAAAAAAAAAATCTCAGGCTCGGCTCGATTTATACATTTTTGCATTAATTTTTCTAAATGACACTGTATTACTAGCATTCAGATATTATTCACAAGTTCATCAAACATGCCTTCTCATGCAGTGTTTCCAATGTGGTAACTCAATTTATGGAAGATTATAGATGATTTCAAAACTGAAAAAACTCACTATCTTCACGCGCTTGGAAGTAAATAAGAAAATAAGCAAGTCATTTATTTCATAACACTATATGTTAATTAATGTCCCAAGATTATTTAAGTAATTTCAACTTTTAGCCCCAACTTCATTTTATAAACTCTTGTTAGATCAAATTACGCCGAGTTATTGACTAATGTGCACAAATTTGACAGCATTAAGATTTCTTATAATTAATATCGTATATTGTGCAAGCACTGAATTGTATTCAATTTTTCATTGTTTTGTTTAATAGGTTACATGGATCGAACATGTTCAAGTGTATGATAAATTGTTAACTCATCGTCTCTATAGAGAATTAATATGCGGTTGTCAAGCATATGGAGCCAAAAGGTGGATTGCTAGTCTTCAAAGGATGTGTGAGAGATTTTCATTCTCAATGGGGCTAACTAATAGACCTACACACGAACTTGAAGAAGGCAAACATTTGCTCTTGTTCAGCGGTCTATTTTTACATTTCCCAATTGCATTAATATTACAATGTACAAAAATTGAGCAAAAAATGGTCGTGATTATTTTTTCTTCTTTTAGTGATAGACTCAGCTGAAGGCCGGAGAAATTTAATGCAACTTTCTCACAGAATGATCAAGATGTTCTCTGAAATATTGAGCATGTCAAGCAATCTAGCTTTTCCCCCCACATCAGAATGGAACAACAGTGGAACTCGAGTCTCTCTTAGACAAAGCAATGGTCTAGGCCAACCGAATGGCTTGATCGTTGGCGCAGCCACCTCTCTGTGGCTTCCCCTCTCACCTGAGAATCTCTTTAACTTCTTCAAAGATGATAAAAAAAGAGCAGAGGTATACAGAGTTAATAAATTCTAAATACTTGAATATTATTATTCATTTTACTTAAAAAAGTTAAAGCAAGTTATAGAAATTTCTAAAGAAATCCATTTTACATTGCAGTGGGACGTTTTATCCAACGGAAGTCCTGTTAGTGAGATTGCACACATCTCAACTGGAACACATCCTGGAAATTGTATCTCTATCATCCAGGTTACTTTCTTTCTACTTAGCCATATATAGTGCTATAGAGTATTTCAATATTTGTTTTATAAATTAACGGCTTTCTCAAAGTACTTTATCTAATTTCTTGAAAAAATTAAATATAAACAGCAAAAGAAAAGAACCATCATTCAACGTGTGGCTAATTAATGTACAACGCTTTGGTATTGAACATAAATATGACGCTGTTTTGATAGAGCCATCAACCAGTGTGCAATTCATGTGAACTCAACTTATGACTTATCATTGACAAAACATTCTTCTATTCTGCTTAATATATATCCAAATACTGATATAGGAAAATTGTGTGATACTACTAGAAGCTTGATAGCATTTTTATTTTGGCTCGCATTATCAGTAAATTAGAAGTTTTTTACAACATAAATTTGAAAAAATGTCATGTGCAATAGATTAATTTTTTAGACTAGTTATAGCATTAAGATGATCTAAAGCTCAGATTTTACATGGGAAATAAATTTACAAATAGGCATATGTTTTCATGCTTTGCAAAAATCATATTGTCTATAGAGTATTTATTTGTCGTATGGTGTATGCATAGTTTATACAATAGTAATCTGTATAAAAAATATAAGGCAGCACCTGTAATTTAGACAAACTGGAAGGTAAAATATGTTTCCCGTCGTATTTGTTTTCTCAGTTATAACTTGTCCCAAACTACATATTTTATAAATGAAAATAACATTAACTATAGATATTGTTGATGTGCAACTCATGTGTGTCTGAGCTGCTATCATTGAAATGTGATGATTTTTGCTTCTATGTTTGATTACATCTTTTATGTGTAATGCTTTAAACTCAATGAGAAATCTTGGAAAAATTAAGGAAGTTATATATAAAAGATCAAGAGTTTGCGCCTACGTCATGCAAATAATTGATTATAAAATTACATTTTTCAATATTTTTATGAAAATGCATTTAATTGAGTTACCAATTATTTTTTTGCCACAATGGTATTTGTGATTTATATACAGCCATATGCACCCAAGGAAAACAAGATGCTGATGCTCCAAGAAAGTAGCATTGACTCCCTAGGAGCAATTATAATCTATGCTCCATTAGAGTTACAATCCATCACCTCGGCTGTGAATGGTGAAGACACTACGATAATTCCTATACTTCCATCTGGATATATAATCTCTAGTGATGGCCGCCTTGATCATAAGGGAATTGGAGCGTCAAGCAGTTCGAACATGAGTAACTCCAGTGGTTCACTCTTGACAATTGCTTTTCAAATACTAGTGTGTTACAACGCACTTTCAGAGCAACAACAAATGGAGTCAGTGGCCACTGTGCACTCTCTTATAAGCTCCACAGTTCAAAAAATTAAAGTAGCTCTTAAATTCTCCGAGTTGGATTGATAGAGGTCTTGTTGTTATTTGTGCTCGTCTTATGTAACGGGATAATGTTTACTGACAGAACATTGGTGTGATAATAACTTGACCCTTTGAACGTTGGTTGCATAGCGTTGGCATAAAAGAATATTGTTGTTTGCACTTTGTATGCTTTGGAACCCAAGCAGCAGAGCCAAACCACAGGTTGATCTTACGTTTTCTCTCTTTCGCTATTACTAATTGATTGAAGTTCAACACAAAAGTAATACTCTTCTGGCTTAAATTTCAAATTGGTATTCTATAGAATTAAGGATTTGTTGATCAAATACAATGGAGAAAGTGTATTATTACTCACTAATATTTTTTTTTTCTCTTCTTTATGTTTGAAACACATCAAAGAAATGTATATTTGTTCTTACAAAAAAAACTTTATTGTGAATAACACTTCTTGACCTAGGCAAATGTTTTTGGATCTAAAAATCCAGGTATATGCTGCGCGCTCCCAGAAATTTTGGCCCAAAGTTTGATATTTACCGACCCATTTCATGTGGTCAGTAATTATGCCTGGACTAGGCCGACTATTATTTATTGCGGTCGGTAAATGTATTGGTTCTATCAGAAATTTTGGCCTAAAAAATATTTTACCGACCCATTTCATATGTTCGGCAATTGTATCTCGTCAAGGCCGACTAATAATTTTCTTAGCATATAAATATTAAGGCGTCAGATCTCCAACCCAAACAAGTTGGGAAAAATATAAGACATTCATCGACCTTTTTAAATTGATCGGCAAATGTGCTTATCTTGGCCAACTACTATATTAGCTTGGTGGTAAATGTTAAGATGCCAAGTACCCATCAAATATTTGGGCCAAAATATAAAATATCCACCAACCCATTTTATTGTGGTCAGCAAATATATGTATAGTCTAGGCCTATTAGAAATATTTTTTGGTCGGTAAGTATTGTTTTCGGTGGCTAATTTTAGATTGGTAGGGAATATTTGGTCGATGGAGATGATTTTCATTGACTATTTATATTTGGTCAGGAAAAACTGGTTGGCAAAGGTATAACGGACTAAAAAAATTTATTAGTCAGTAAAAGCAGTATTTTCGCTGACTAATTTTTGGTTGGACGAGAAAATCTCGTGGGAAAGCCATAGTTTCTTGTGAGCAAATATACAATCCAAGTTGGAAGCAACAACCAAATATCTATTTGTGAGAAGGTTAGAATAATGAAAATCTCGCTAATCCTCAACAAGAAAGGAACCTTGTCATGAAAATTTCCGTGCTCTGTCCCCGCTTTTACCTATAGAAGGTCCGTAGGTAAATATTGCCAACGGTTTTCCATTTGAAACATTCAAGCACCCCAAAATAGAAAAATAATATCAGTTGGAAATATTCCATTGGTGCCTCTCTCTAACAATGAATTTCATGGTTTCAGCAACGAAAAACTCTTCGTAAAGCTACGAGTCGACCCGAAAAGTGAAAAGCATTTGTAGGACAATAATTTTGTCGGTGTATGTTTGATGGTTTTCAATATAAATATTTGCAATACGTTCCTAACAAGAACTTTTTGACGGAAAATTGCAAGAATAATTATGGTATAGCTTACGCAAATAGGCTTAATCTATTAAATTATTAGTCCCCACATAAAGAAATTATATTAATTCAGCATAAATAATTTTTACTCACATGAGATACTAATGACACACAAATAATAATGCATTTTAAATTTGTACACATCACGTCTGTCAAAATGAAAATGAAAATGAATTTGAATTTATTAATGTAATTATTTATTATTAGTGGATTAATCATTAATGCAGATACTTAATAGAGCATGATTATCTTATTGATTTTCATATCCAAGGCAAGAGTGATTCAGAATTAATAAATGAATCCACCTAATAAGCTAATGAAATAAATAGGAATGATGAGTGTGGAAAGGTTGGTGTTTTATATAATTATTAGTTACATGTACCCTGGTCTCCATCCATATTTATTACGGTATCCTCGCTTTAATTGTTACCTTAATGTGGCTGTGTTTCTATTAGTTGTTTTCCACTCAAGTCAACTTCTACTCATGAAGAATTACATACCAACACAAAACCCTACTGCCTCCATATTCTTTTACATATATTGCTGATTTATGCACTACACACACAAACAAATAAAAATTACATCCCTGAATATTTTGGAGTCTATTGCTCAAATATCTGAAGGAGGTGCGTTCTTAACTTCCTGTAATTTTGAACTTAATTATATGACAAAGTGGTGAATACATATATCTAAACTGAAACCAGCAAGAAAATCAATGTGCATTTTGTATATTCATTGTGTGTGGCTGGAACTTCTCACATTGCCAAACTTTCTCTAACAGTAGAAAAACTGTAATCAATGAATTCTGGGTATGGTGGAAGTGGATCAGGCGATGAACGGACTTCAAACTCTCGGAGGGGTAAGAAACCATGCCGTCGACACTCAACACAACAAATACAACAGCTTGAAACGTAAGATTAAAATAAGTACACTTGATTTTCTTATGGATGATTTATAATTTTATTTTATTTTTTTAAATAAAGCTATCCAAATTAAGACACGGCTTACTATTTTGAGCGTTATTTTTTTCATACAGTTCCATTTTCTAGTCATTGAAGAATATTAAGTGTTGGTAATTTTTGCATAAAGTAAAAGCGATTCCATATTCCTTATAATAGGTCATGGTTACAACTTTCTTGATGCAGTAGTTAATATTGAGCTTTTTTGCTTGTGGAACTAAGTAGTTGGTTCAACTGTCTTAGATTTTCATTTAAAGGGTTTCAAATCCCTGAATTATTTTTGATTTATTCAATTGTAAACGTGAATATTTTCTCATGATTGGTGGCAATTATGCAGGTTCTTTAAGGAATGTCCAAAACCAGATGAGAATCAGAGGCGACAATTGTGTAGCGAACTAGCACTCGATCCCAATCAGATAAAATTTTGGTTTCAAAATAAAAGAACTCAGATGAAGGTGCCATCTATATATATATATATATGGTTGATTTATGCTAATATATTCATGTCTCCCATTTCATTACTGATAATTAACATTGAGTATTTTATATATTTCAGGCTCAACAAGAGAGAGCAGACAACAGCACCCTTCGATCTGAAAATGAAAGATTGCACTGTGAGAATTCAGCAATGAAAGAGGCACTTAATAACGTCATCTGCCCGACTTGTGTTGGTCCACGTCTTGGCCAAGAAGTGAGGCAACATAATCTACTGAAATTAAGAATGGAAAATGCATTATTGAAAGAGGAGGTAATTGTTCCCCCTTTTTATAAAAAGAATCAACGGCTACCTAGGTCGGGGAGGAGAGGTGAACTCATTTTTGTTACATTTTACAGCATGCACGGATGCTTAACGCATACTCCAGCTTCATGGGGAATTGATGGCGTACAAATATTGGCCTTAAATTATGTGGAAGGACGGGACGAGCTCATACACCAGTGCACAGCAATATAAACTCCTGTTCTGCTACCTAATGCCTTTATTTAAGTTTCAGCTTTACTTCTGTTAAATAATCGTCAGCTCTGTTAAATAATCGTCAGCTTTTAATTACAAAAGGGAAACTTGGTCTTTTTTTTTTAATCCTAGGGTTTTCGTCCTTTATAAATAATTTTTCAGTTGAATTCTATGGTTGGTTGTTTTTGACATTAAATAGACATTCAGGGTTTCTTCATCGTCAGCCACCATACTTTACAGAATTTGAGGATGTTTTTTTATCTTTTCACATTGCGATCAATTTCTGAAGCCCATCAATGGGCTTTGCTGTTAGAGAAACAAGCTGCACGCCTTGGTGTGACGCCGGCAGTATAGTGATTAT